GTAATTAAATATTTCTATCTATTAGATATTTCAGAATAGAAAATATTTTGTTATGCTAAATTCTATTTCAAGAAATTTTATTGAAAGCAATATATTCATATACAAATAATAATAAATAAAATAAAAAATAAGTAAAGTTAAACACATTACATAAGTTCTATTATACCAATTAAATAGTAAAAATTTAAATAACAATAATTATTTATAATAGGTCTGTTAATTCTAATGTGGGATAGCCTAGGAAGCTAAGTTGTCTTATATTACAAACACCGTGTTTGTAGTATTGGACAGCCCTGAGTAAGGGATATTTTGTAAGTTGAGTTGTCTGGTATCACAAACGCATAACATCATATCTATTTCATGTTGGTAGCACCTAACTGGCCCTTACTACTAGAGAAAAATGAAAACTTGCAGGATTTTCCATCCGTTCGGTGATGAAAATGCCGGATAGGTGCGAAATTCTGGTTATGGCATGCATGCCATGAAACTGGGTAAAGTTAGTCTAAGATAGCATTACCAGGACATGCAAACAAGGTCTTAGACTTCAATTAAAACATGGTATTTTGATCATTCAAATGTTTATTTTCTTCTAGAGAGAGGCTTGGTTCTCACAATTCCTTGTCATGGTTTGTTTTTGTTTTTTTTTCGTTTCTCTCTCTCTCTTAGGTTCTGGTTTTGGCTCAAAAGCCATTTACTCAACTGGCTTCTTCCATTTGAAGATGAAGGTACCCAACAGGGATTCAGCCGGAGTTGTCACTGCTTTCTATGTAAGATTGTAAAAATCACAGTTTTTTCTTTCTTATAAACCCAATATCACTGCTCAAGTTTCAACTATTTGTTTACTCATACTCAGTTTTGAGAAGTCATTAGGTTTATGTAATGGCTAATGGTTTACTCATACTCAATTTGAGAAGTGATTAAGATTATCTACATCCAAATCTTAAACTAACCTTACCTACTAAGTCACATTGTTTAAAGAATCACCTATCGGACTTGGAACTCCCCGGTGTCAGACTGGATCGGGAGGCCAGACAATCCAGAATCACCAGAGTCTCCTAGTTTTTCTATGGTCGTCTAAATTTTTTTTATTACAGATCCTCTGAATCGGACAGGGGGGCTTGGGCATGGACCCCTTTAGAGTCGAGCCCAGTCTAGACTTTTTTAACACTGCTTACTGAGAATCACCTTTGGGTTAATGCGGAAATATCTTTTCAGATGAGCCCTCCTTTAGTGTGTGGTTTGTATAAAGCTGAGGCTCTAAGTAATCAAAGTAATGTATACCTTAAAGAAGTATCAAAAGATGTTATTTTAGTACTAAAAATCTTTGTGATGGCTTGAAAATTTATTTTCATTTAAAGCTTCAACAATAATGTATATCAAATAGATCTATAAATACTTGATAATCTTGAAATTTGGCAATAAAAAAAAATGCATTATAATTTACACTATTTTTAAAACTTGAAATCCATTTTTCTCATGTCCATGCATCTTGAGATTAAGATAATCCATATGAAGATTTTGAAACATCGAAACAACTTCTTCTAGTGAATTTTTGATATGCGCCTCACCCTTATATAAACTTTTTTCCTTTATTTAAGCCCATTGGTGTAATATTCTTTTGTGAAGGCCATGGGGTTGAAATAAAGCCCTGATAGAGCATGAAATGTGAAATCATAAGTGGAGGACTCTGTTTATCTACCATTGGCTTTTCTTTCAAATTCAAAGAATGATTAGATGCTTATAAATCCATTGCATCTCCATGTTTCCTCCATTTTTCTCAAGTTTCATATATGTCAAAAAATGGTTCATTATTTCCTTAGTTTTTTTGGAGATAGATACTTGTGCTGCAATAACATAGGGTGAAGGTTTACTTATGCTGGATAAGTGTAACAGTTGTCTTCCCACTCTAATAACCACGACGAGCTGGATTTTGAGTTCTTGGGTAACCTTGAAGGTAAGCCTTACACTCTCCAGACCAATGTTTTCGTTAATGGTCATGGGAACAGAGAACAGAGGTTCCATCTGTGGTTTGATCCAACTGAGGACTTCCATGATTACAGAATTCTATGGAACCCTTACCAAATAGTGTATGCTCTCTCTCTCTCTCTCTTTC